TCTTTACTCTGTCTGCCCTTCAGGAACCAAGTTAAATTGATAATGAAAATACACTCCAATGAGTTGACCCAGAATAAAAATTTAGTGAACAGAAATTATAACTATTATTATTAACCTTTTGAGTATTTACTGAAATTTTCCATCGTGTCAGACCCTGGACAAATGCTAACTGCTTACTTCTTTGTATATGCTATCAGTATATCATTCCCATGAAACCCAGCGCTACAGAGTCGATTCCTGCTCAACGTGACCAATGGAGGTTTTCTGAGGCTGTACACTTTTTATGGGAGCAGAATCGTCTTAACTGTCTGTCATCAAGTGGCTGGTGGGTTTGACTCACCGACCTTGCAGTTTGCAGGCCAATGCTTACCTGGGGGTGCCAGCAGGACTCCTTGACCAGTGTACGAGTAGATGTCAATATTCCTATGCCTCCATTCTCTTTCTAAAAGAAAAGATTCACAGATGAAGTTTCCTGCCCCACAGCTCCTCTCAGGTGAAATGTGACAGCAGCTCGGGCTTACTTCCTAGAGTTCATTAACGCACAATGCCGTTGCTTCTTTTGTTTCTTATAACTAAACCCAAGACGCCCAAGAGATTTAGGAGAAGCCACTGTTTCACTCTCAACAACATAGCAGCATGATGATGAGATAGCTAGAAAGTACAATCTGTATTTCCCGAGTTAAAGGAAATGATCCCACTGAAGAAGCGAGAGTGGAAAGGTAGTGTCCTATCATATTCTAAAAGAACCGTGAAGGGCTGGTATGCCAGCACTCCCATGTTGCTGGGGCCGAAGCTAAATTGCCCAGTGACTCACAGAAGACCTTTGGCCGAAGCTCAGGCCCACCTATCTCCCCCTCTCCACTAGTCCCAGATATGGCCTTGTGTTGGGGTGCTGCAGTCAGTAGGAAAGTGTTTCCACACGTCTGCGCAGAAGGCATTCAGCAAATGTTCCCTGGACATCCCTACTCCCCCTTGGAAGCACGACTAGCCTTTGCCATTTATTGTATTGGCTTTAAGACCTTGATTGACTTTAGTCCGAATCCTGTGCCAGCCCACTCCCCCCACAGAAGACAACAGGGAAAACCAAAAGGACAATAACAAAACCCACACGCTGGAAAGCACCTTTGGCTTTCCTCCTACATTAGGGCATGATGGTGGCAACGACTATGATTACTTCGAGTGAATAGTAGCTATGTTGCTGGGCGCTTAGGTATAGACACTACTTTTGTTGTGCCTGAGCTAAGGTGAACTCCAGACTGCTAACTCGCGCCTCTGCTATGGGGTTGGGACAGAGCAGCCCCGTTTTTATTTCCTAAGGGCACTATGAGGTCAGGGGAACTGTTGGTACAGAACAGAACAGATGGGCCACCTGAGAGTGGCGTTCTTCACCTACATCACCGAGGCGAAAAGGTCAAACAAGGCCAGTCCTTCCAAGTGAGCCCTGCTCGCAGCCAGTAAGAAAGAGCTGCAGGCTCTCCGTCCCCAGCAGAAGAAGCATCTTTGAAGACAACAGGTCTGATTTCCAGGGGTATGTGGCCAGCAGTGCCTGAATCCCTTTCGTGGGTTCCATTACACCCCCCGTTTGGCGCAAGGTGAAGCCATTGGCGTCCAGGAAGAAGCAGAAGGCCTGCTTTCCTTGAGGACAGACTAAGTCCGAGCAGTGGTTCTCACCCCTGGCTGTATACGAGAGTTGCCTGGACAGCTTTCAAAGCTTACCTAAGCCAAGGTCCACCTGCTCTGGGGTGTTCTGGAGCTCAGGGCAGCCTTGAACAAATAACAGGCTTAGAGACGAGTGCATGTGAACCTTCGTGATACCGTCTAGATGCTGACGACTGAAAGCAATAATCTAGTCCATTCAGTTCTCTAAAGGTAATCACTTCGCCATGCAAGCATCACTTGAATGCGCTAGAAATACAAACTCCCAACCCAGATCTATGGAATCAGACTTTCTGTGGTTGTGAACCAGCATTCTAGCTTTTAAAATCTTATTAGCTTAATAATTTTAATAAGACTTCCAAGTTCATCTGGTAGACATTGAGCCTTGAGAACCACTGGTGTAGGCCGAGGCCTTGTTACTCATACGGTCCATAAACCAGCAGCGTCTAGGTCCCCCGGAGCTCTTTAGAAATGCAGACTCTCAGGCCACCCCGACCAAAGAAATCAGTATCTACATTGTAAAGATAGCTTCAGGTATGTGTAATGGCAGTGAGCGTTGGAATGTATAAATCCCCCTGATTGTATAGTGTATTACACCTGGGCTCTAACCATAAGGTCAGCAGTTAGAAGCCATCAGCCACTCCTAAGCGAGAAAGCTGAGGCTTCCCGCTCCCACAGCAAGTTACAGCCTTGGAAACCCCAACAGGCAGTTCTAGTCTGATCATTATGAGTTTGAATCAATTTGAAGGCAGTGGGTTTAGTATGGGGTGGGGGAGTGGTGGTGGGCGGGGTGAGGGAGGTGGGACTGGTAAGCATTTGTGAAAGTTTCAGAAGCACTGATCTAAGAAACATTAGCCAAATAATGTTCTCAAAAATAAATAAGTAAAAAGACTAGTTATCTTTCAGAGCATTCAGGTTAAAAGCAAGAGCATGGTGCGAGCTAGTCAGGGAATTGCACTCTGATTCCTCCCAACAGCAGTGCATACACGGGATGTAGTTCATAACGAGGGCATTGGCTAAAAGAAACTGTAGGTATAGTGGCTGTTGTCATACTACATAGAGCCCTGGTAGCTTAGTGGCTTATGCATTGGGATGCTAGGGGCAAAGATGGCAGTTCACAACCTCCAGCCACTCCTTGAGAAAAAGATGAGGTTTTCGACTCCTGTAAAGACTTATGGCTTGCAAACCCACAGGGGTAGTTCTAGCCTGTCCTACACGGGATCTACTCAATTGCAATGAGTTTGGTTGTTCGGTTTTGTGGTAGTAAGAATGGCAACTGCTTATCCAAAGGTTACTGTATAACTGTGTTTTCCCCTGTAGAAAACCAGAGACATCATCCATTCATTCTACAGATATTATAATATTAAAGCAAATTTGCCACATACTGCTCCAGGATCTTTCTATATGTAGAAAGGGAGCAGCCCATACCGCTATGAGCCTTACGTCATAGTCAAAGAGCAAGCAATACATATAGGGATGTTATGCAATCTTAGTAAAGCTACGTACGCTGAAGAAAAGAAAGCATGATAAGAGAAGGGCATAAGGAGTGACAAAGGAAGGGTAGTGGTGAGAGATGGAAATGTTCCCTAACGAGGTGGCATTTGAGCAAATCATGGGTGAGGCATAGCAATCAGCCACATCGCTATTTGTAGGACAAACATCAAGGGCAGGGGCCTGGTATGGAGGGAGGGAGGAAGAGATTCATTAGAGGGGAGTTTGGAAGGTAGTTGCTGCGATAGCACAAATATTCTTGTAAGCCAAATAGAACAAAGAAATAAGAAGGAATTTAGTCTTAGTTACCTAGTGCTGTGGTACAAGAGATTTCGCAAGCCAATAGCTTTAACAAATAGACATTTATTTACACTTTAGAAGGTTCCCAGGCAATCTTCACATGGCTTGGTATCTCCTGTCTCACTCCACCTCCTTCCCACGACCGCTCCTCTCCTTTGCTTTTGATATCTTATATCAAAAAAGATTAATTTAAAACACAGCCCATGCTAATCCTGGAACATGAATATAGCAACGACAGCCCATCCCCAAGTGGGACTATAGGCACAGACATAGAAGTTAGGGTTTACGGCGCATGTGCAGACACAATTCAATGCACAACAGTTTCCTACGCTCTTATGGGCCTGCAGACCTTGTTAAACTATAGTGGAGCGTCAGAAAGTTTGCGTGGACCTGGGGTTATACATTCCAGCAAGCTCCCCAACAGGTTGATACTGTTGGCTGTGGGTCACTCATAGAGTAAACACAAAGGAACGAGGGTCAAGAGCTTGAGCAACATGCTCAATGTCACACCACTGGTAAATTGCAAAGGCAAGATTTGAATCTCAGATTTTTGACGGCGAATGCTGTGCTGTACATCAGCATAATCTGTGGTATACCTGAGGACTTCATGCCTGATTCACCTGTAACTATGTGCAGGCAATGTAAAGGGCTTGACATTCTGCTTATAGAAGAGCTGTTTCTTTCCTTTTGTTTTGAAGGAGATCTAAAAACAAGGGAAATGGAATGCCTTGGTAGTTGTTGAAATGTTGTGCTACCGCTTGCGAATTACTTAAAAGATGTGTAGTGTAATTAACCCGGGGCCACTTAGAGACAGGTGATCGTGTTGTTGAAATACATATATATATAAATGCCCATGAGTCTTCAAACCCAATGCATTATATTTGCAGTGACTGACCTGAAGAAGTTGGTTACTCCTCAGGCTCTGGACTTGCATATGTCTCTCTCTATCTCATTGGAAGAATCGTGTGCTCTCAGACGTGGGCGAACTGTGTTAGTCAGATCCATGTAACTGTTTACATGCTCAAGTCCACCAGATTTCAATATAGAAAAAGCCAACAAACTAATAAATGACGGGGAGGTGTATTTAGTTTAAATTCAAGGTTCTGGGCCTTCTTCCAACGAGCTACGATGGTGCAGTAGCTTAAGCATTGGGCTGCTAACTTCAAGGGTGGCAGTTCAAACTCACCAGCTGTTCCAAAGGAGAAAGATGAGACTCTCTGCTCCCCGAAACATTTTGTGTCTTGGAAACCTAATGCTGCAGTTCTGTTCCTTCCTGGAGGACCTCTGTAAGTCAGAACGGACTGGGCAGCGGTAGGTTTGTGATCATAGCGTCCAGTGTCAAGCAGATGTTCAAAGGAAAGGGTGGTTCCCTGCGTCTGTCGTGTCTGATATTAACTGGGTCTTCCTGCCCCAGGTGGTGGAGGGGCGACGAGGTGGGGAGATGTTCTGTGTATGTACCGTATATGCCTTGATGATGGACACGGTTTGGTTTGGTTTGTTCCCCTTCCCTTCTGTTAATTCTGTGTTCTTTTTCCTTTGTGCTGCACGATTAGGACCCTGCAGTGGGACACAGACCCCTCAGTGCTGCAGCTGCAGTCAGACTCTGAACTTGGGTATATGTCTGCTCTTTTGTTACTCCTTCTATTATTTCTTTGTTACAATTGTGTTGAAATGCTTAAGCAATTGTTTACTCCTGTTTTTCTCCCCTTGTGTTGAACTTCCAGTTTGATCATTTTGTTTTCTCCTGTTACTTTTCCTTTAGACGTGTTAGGCCTTGAAATAAAAAGTCTCTCTTTGTGGAAAACCCCACAAAAAGATGGCTTTGATCTCTCCTTTCCCCTTTTAGTTCTACTCCTGGAAAACAACCCCCGAAGAACATAAACATAACCCCCATCTCTATGTGAAGGTGGGGCGGTCCGCAGATTCTGCAATGAGAAACAACTTTGACTATGTCCTAACCATCCTTTCACTTTACTACCAAGCTGTCTTAGGTCAAATTCTGTCCAAGATCCATTAACCCGAGGCCATTTTTTGGTCTAAGATCGGTATTAAAATGTGTCCTATTTATTTCCTTTCCTTTTCACTCCCTTGGGGATTCAAAGTAAACATTTAAACAGATAAACTTTCCTATTAGAGCAAAAGAAGATTTGTTCAATTCCCCAATCCTAAAAGAATCTTAAATATCTGGTGTGAGATAATTCCTCCTACATGCTAAAGATAACACTTTTCAGAAGGAAAATTATAATCACAGGTTAAGGAAAAGTGCTTCAAAATATAAAGTGAATCCTCTAAGAGTAAATCACATGTCCTAGAAACATAGTTTATTTCTGTTACAGGATTTAAGTGAACGATACTCACACAGAAGGTATTTCCGGTGGCTGTTCATACCAGCTCATGCGCAAACCCCGGAAAGCTGAGTGTGCACCTATCTTCCTAAGGCCGCATTCAATGGCTTTCCATTGGTAGCTTGTAAGCAGCCATACAGGAGATATTTACACCACGGTCATCAGCAAACAGGCACTTCCTGAACCACTTCATACCCAACTGGCTTTTAAACATTTATCACCATGTCACTGGATATTTCATTATATAAACTGCAAATGTTATTGTAGCAATCTTTTAAACTATCCTCCCCCTGAAAAAAAATATATACACCAGTGAATCCCAAAGTGCACTTTTATTATTTATTTTGAATTCCTGACAGTTTCTCAGCATGTTGTCTCTGGGTTTATATCCATGACCATACCTGTAGTAAGAGCTTTAAGAATTACCTGCTTGTTAAGTTAAATGCCAACTGCCTGTGTCCCTTGGTCTATGCAAAGGGCATTGCTACATTCGCAACAGCACTAAACTAAGGAGCTATCCTGAACACCTGCAGTAATTGATGTGCAATTTCTGTTTAGCTTCACCAATCTCTTGGCTATATAAAAATCTAGTCCGTGTGTGTTACCTTTCAATTATTATTATTTATATAGTCGAGGAATGTGACTCAATCAAGCAGTTAAACTATTACTGTATTGTCAGGGCAAGTTTGGAATGCAATTCTTCAATCTTCCGTGGTGTCTAAAAGCACAAGGAGTAGCAGGCACTGGCAGTCCACTGTGTGCATGGAAAATATGACAGTTTAGGGGGATTGTGGCATTTATTCCCTGAGGTGGAGCAGTTGACAGCTTTCCCACTTATATTTGTTTTCCAAGCAAGTACTGGTGAGTCCGCCGATTAAGTCCTGTCCCTACTCTATGGTAATATTGGTGTCTCCTACCGCCCCTCCCACATTTTCCTTCCGAGTGGAACCACTGAGTCAGTGAGGGGCCATACGTGATGAGACTGTTCACCAAGAATAGCTTCCCGGAGAGCGTTCCACAGGAATGCGCAGGAAATATTAGTTGACAAAGGAGATTGGTTACATGCTATGATTTCACATATTATCTTAATGAAAATTTCCCCTTTTCATTGATCTTCTGATAGCACAGTGATCCTCTGATATCCATTGAGCTTCCAACCACAGGTTGGGAATTTGAACCCTACAGGAGAAAGATGCAGATGTCTTTTCCTGTGAAGATGTCAGCTCTCAGGAACCCAAAGGGGCGTTCCACTTTGTCCTACAGGGTCCCCGTGAGTTGGAATAGACTCAGTGACAGCAGAGAGCCGTTGGAGGTGGGGCAGTCTTTCTTTCATGCCTAACTTCATGAAATACACCTTAGACAACAATAAGAATTTTCCAGGGAAAATTTTGTTTCCTCTTCTCAAGCTTTGACATGGGGTTTATCATAGACCACTGCTGTCTATACCACTTCCATTTTTCAATGGATTAATTGAAATATAATTGACATAAAATAGATTCTAAAAATTCAGAGTGCACAATTTAATGGATTTTAGCATATGCATACACATGACACCATAGTCACAATAAAAATAATGAAATGCCCATTTTCTTCAAAAGTTTCCTGTGTCCCTTTGTAGCTTTCACTCCTACCTCCCTTCTCCCCCCCCCCAAAATAACTGATAGGCTTTCTTTCACTGTGCATTACTTTGCATATTCTGGAATATTATATAAAGGAAATCATACAGTATAACTGATTCATTTCACTTCAAATCAATTTTGATATTGTGTTAGTCTGGGTTGACTAGAGAAACAAATTCATAGACACTCGTATGGGTAAGAGAGAACTTTATATCAGAGCAATTGTACATTAAGAAAACATCCCAGCCTAGTCCAGGTTAAGTCTATAAATCTGATATTAGCCCATATGTCCATTACCAGTCTACAAATCCTTATTCAGACTCACAAAGCACATGCAATGATGCCAAATGCAGGAAGATTGACATAAAAAAGATTTCCAGGTCAGTTGCTGGAAAGTCTTGTGGATCCAGTGATGGTGGAAGCATCTTAGTGCTGGCGTGGATCTCGTGAGTCCTCCAGCTCCAGGGCTCTAGCGTAGCTCCATGTGTCTTGGCATCAGGAATTGTCTGTGTCCCACCTCCAGCGAGCTATTGATCTCCGTAGAGCCTCCATATGAGGTCATCAAGCAGCAGACTGATTGACAGGTTAAACTCCACCCGTCACT